AAAAAAAAAAAAAAAAAAGCAAGTTAACTAGTAAACACAGTAATATTTTGATCATCTTTTGTGTGACTGGCTTGTTTTATAACATTCAAACAGTAATTTTTCTTTTGAAAAAAGAGATATGTATTACATCGTTATTCATGCCCTGGGCCTCCCGAGGAGGTAGTTTGGAAACACCCCCCACCTTTTTTTTTTTTTTATCCAGCTCCTTAGAATAGAAGTTTTCTATATAGTAATCTGGATAATGATTTCAAAATTTGTTTTGGTGAAGGCTGAGTGTCCTTTTGGGGATCCAAATCAATCATTTCACAGATAGATGGGTGGGTAGGACAAGATAGGTATAGGTATAGGTATAGAACAAGATATTCTACTTTCAAGTATGTGTATTTCTACATTTTAAAACATTGTTGAAAATTGTCACATTTTGCTACCATTGTTTTGTACTTAATTTTTTGCCCTTTATTTTTCAGAATGAACCTAGTGATAGAGAAGATGTCCTCAACAAAAGGCATCATGTGACAGACTCTGACAATGATGACCCCTCAAATCTTAATGCTAGTGACTCTGAGAGTGAGGAGCTTCATAGGCAAAAGGACAGTGAATCTGAATCTGAAGAGCATGTAGAGCCTCCTGCAAGTGATTCTGAAAACGAGGATGTCAATCACCATGGGAGTGACTCTGAGAGTGAGGAACCCAGGAAATTACCTGTCAGTGACTCTGAAAATGAGGAACTTCTTAATGGGCATGCAAGTGACTCTGAAAATGAAGATGTTAGAAAGCATCCTGCCAGTGATTCAGAGATTGAAGAGCTCCCCAAAAGTCCTGCTAGTGACTCTGAAACAGAGGATACTCTCAAACCTCGAATCAGTGATTCTGAGAGTGAGGATGCTCCAAGGCACCAAGCCAGTGACTCTGAAAATGAAGAGCTTCCCAAACCTCGAATTAGTGATTCTGAAAGTGAGGAGCTTCCCAAGCCCCGTATCAGTGACTCAGAAAGTGAAGATCCACAAAGGCACCAAGCCAGTGACTCAGAAAATGAGGAACTTTCCAAGCCTCGTATCAGTGATTCAGAAAGTGAGGATCCCCCAAGGCATCAGCCTAGTGACTCAGAAAATGAAGAGCTTGACAAACCCCGTATCAGTGATTCAGAAAGCGAGGATCCCCCAAGGCACCAAGCCAGTGACTCTGAAAATGAGGAGCTTCCCAAACCTCGGGTTAGTGATTCGGAAAGTGAGGATCCCCCAAGGAACCAGGCCACTGATTCTGAAAATGAAGAGCTTCCAAAACCCCGAGTCAGCGACTCTGAGAGTGAGGAGCCTCAGAAGGAACCTGCCAGTGATTCAGAAACTGAGAATACCTCTAGACACAAAGAGAAACAGGAGTCAGATGACAGTGATGGGGAGAATAAGGGAGAGGATGCAGAAATGCAGAATGATTCCTTTCATACAGATACCCACATAGACAGGAAGAGATTTCACAGTTCTGACAGTGAAGAGGAAGAACCCAAAAGGCCAAAAATTGATAGTGATGAAGATGAAAAAGAAGAAGAGAAAGCAAAGCGAAAAGCTGCAGTACTTTCTGATAGTGAAGATGAGAAAGCATGTAAGGAAGTATTTGGGACTTTACTTAATATGTAAATGTCTATTAAGGTTTATTTAATGTCTAAGCTTATAATTATGAAGCTTTGTGTTTTGTTTTTTTCTGGTATGATGTTTGTTTTCCTTTTTACATTTAGCTTGATCTATATTCAATCTAGGAAACTGATTTTCATTGACATCTTCTTTGCGTTCTAGTAGCTTTTTATTAAGTTCTGTGTCAAAATATGAATTAGACCTATTTTCAATGGATTGGGAAGGAAGAAAGGGTAAGGAAAGAACAATGTTTCAAAGAAAATTTATTTGAAAACCTGACTGTCTCAAATTAGCTATGGATCTCCGACAGCTCATGTATTACATAAACATCCATACAGTGGCTGGATTCCCATAAGTACCTCTCTTCTCTTTTTTTTTTTTTTTACCTCTCTTTATTTTTAAACATCATTAAATACCCAAATACAAGGAATATGTGTAGAGAGCTCTTATTTAGAGACTTCCTACCTCTGTAGAAATATTCTGCTCTTTGCTACCTGAACTCTGTTCCCGTGGATAACAGGTTTTACATGATTGCTTTATTGTGAAACTTACACTTTTAAAAAATTTTATATTTCTTTTTTATTTCTTTCTTCATTTTATGCATTTTTTCATCAGTTGTAATCCCCATGGACTTTTCCACCACCGTGTGCCATCACCATAGTCCTGTGTACTCTTCCTGCCCCAGTTTTGATCTTGTTCCCCTTTCCTTTCCTGTAGAATATCTCTGTAACTTTTATGAAAACAACATTCAATTACAACCTAGTAGTTAATATAGGAGAAGGCAAATGTGTACCATACATGTGTCAGTTTACTAAGGAAGTGAGAGATTCCAAACTGATAAGCAGTGCTCAAGGAACATGGGGATTTGGAAGAGTAGCCAAGTTTTTTTTTTTTTTTTTGTAGCTCTGGAGGGTAGTATGACGTGAATGCACGTCATACTTAGTAATATAATAACCATATTATAACCATAGAAGTGACTCTACATCTGCATACTAGTCTATCTTATTTTTGTATTTCCCAAAAGAAAGGGTAGCAAGCTTCTGTGGTGGCAAGAGTTTGATCCCAGGCAGGTAGCTAAGCCACATGGTGCAGCAGACCTCTCCTGATCTGCCCATTGTTCCCTTCTGCAGTGTATTTCAGTCCATCTGCCTGTTCTGCTCTCCACTCTGTCTCTGGTGAATCCTCTCATCCCCACACCGCTGGCCTACACCCCAGCTCTTATACACATAAATAAATAAAATAAACCTTTTTTAAAAAAGGAAAGATAGGGCCCTCTCTGGTGGTGCAGCAGGTTAAAGCACAGTACTGAGAATCTAAAGCCTCTTCCGCATGAGTTCGATTCCCGCCTGCCCTGGAGGTGACCACATGGTGTGGCAGACCTCTCCTGACCCGCCCGCTGCTCCCCTCAGCAGTGTACTTCGTCGATCTGCCTGTTCTGCTCCCCGTTCTGTCTTTGGTGAAGCCTCTCGCCGCCCCTGAGCCTCTGGCCTGTACCCCAGTTCTGTATGCACAAATAAGTAAATCTTTAAAAAAAAAAAAGGAAAGATAGTTATTGATGTCCACTTTTAGGATGCTGATTTCATTCTTCATCTTTTGACTACTTTTTTCCTCAATAGCATAATGTTAAGATGACTTGAAATGAATCTTGGTTATTATGAATTATCGGGAAATCTAGAATTTTATTATTTGAATGCACGTCATACATAGTTATATAATAACCATGGTAGAAAAGGATTAATGTTTTTATTTTCAACAGCAGCAAAGAAGAGTCGTGTTGTCTCTGATGCAGATGACTCTGACAGTGATGTTACATCAGACAAATCAGGCAAAAGAGAGAAGACTGTGGCTTCTGACAGTGAAGAAGAAGCAGGGAAAGAAGAGTTGTCTGATAAGAAAAATGAAGAGAAGGATCTGTTTGGGAGTGATAGTGAGTCCGGGAATGAAGAAGAGTAAGTGAGTTTTCAAGGGTTTGTATAAGGTAGTAGAAAGTATTTGTTTTTGAGTTTTTTAAACTTGTATTAAAATTTATGCTGTGGTATAATACGATATATGTTGCCTAGTTGGAAGGCTTTGGGGGAAATCAGGATTTACTTCCTGAAATATTGCTGTACAACATGAAATAGATGAATCTCAAAAATGCTGTCCTAAGTGAAGAAATAAAGAGGGCTTATCTCACTCAAAAATAGGCAAAACTGATGATGGAAGTCAGAATGATGGTTGCCTCAATGCTGCTGATAATGTGGAGGAATGACTAGAAGGGACTACAAGCCAACTTTATGGGAAGGTGGAATTGTTCTATATCTTGATTAGGGTAGTGGTTACATGAGTGTATACTTCTGTGAGAACCCTTTGAAGTAGATACTGTAAGATCTGTATGTAAATTATACTCTATTAGAAATAGATTTTGTGGGTTATATGCAAATGAAAAGAAAGCAATGAAATGAAATTTTATATTTGTTTCTTGTAGAAATCTTATTGCAGACATATTTGGAGAATCTGGTGATGAAGAGGAAGAAGAATTTACAGTAAGCAGAGATGGATATATTTCCTCTTTGAACTTCATTTTTTCAAAGTTTCTATGCTTCTTAAGTGGGAGATTCCAATAAGTAGAAACAAACAGCTGTGATGTATGTAGAAAGGGCATTCAGAAAGTGAAGAGAAAGGGTGTATATAGGCATTAAAGGATAATTAACGGGCAAAATTGAAATAAAAGGGGAGGGAACACATTAAGAGATAATGAAAGGTATTTACAGTGTTAGAGTGAGAGTCATAATAATCAGGAAACATTTATTTCTGGCTGTGGCAGGTTAGAATTGGACTAACTGAACTAACTCTTCTGCTAAATACAACTAGAAAAGCTAGACAGAATGTTAAAAGCCTATGTGCTGATCATTAGAGAAACAATGCAACAAAGTATTACTTAGCCAAAAATCAGTAAAAGTCTAGAACCTAAAGAGATAGTCTAGGCATTTTGAATCATCTTTTCTGGGATCTTTAGGCGAAGAAGTTTATTGTATTTTTTTTAAAAGACTTATTTATTTAAAAAAAAAAGATTATTTATGCATATAGAACTGGGGTACAGACCAGAGGTGCAGGGGTGGTGAGAGGATGCACTAGAGACAGAGTGGGGAGCAGAACAGGCAGATTGATGAAGTACACTGCTGAGGGGAGCAGCTGGCGGGCCAGGAGAAGTATGCCGGGTCGCTTCCGGGTGGGGGTCGAACTCAATGCTGAAGAGGCTTTAGCTTCTTATAGCTTCAAAACTTCAAATGAAAAAGTAAGAAATCAGTGTCTGTTGAGTTTAGAGGAGCCATGAAAACTCCATATATCAGATTGGGATTCCTAGAATTAAGGGTGAACTAAAAGTAAAATAGCCATTATGAGATTTGGCAAGTTTTGAGTCCTCTATTAGCAGTCCCAGAAATGTGATTATAATGGTTTTTAAACCTTTGACTTAAGCTCTCAGCCACATAGCTTATGAAGAGAGAATCCTTTCAGGACAAAGGTAGTAGCATCATAGACTTCAAATTGTTTCTTTAGTTTTTCCAATACATAGTATGATATATAGAGGACATCAGAAAGACAGTAGCAAAAGAAATAGATCTAAGATAAAAGAATTTTAAGTATCACTTTAAAAACTTTATTGAGTGATCAGTGGTTAAAAATTTTGTCAGAGCAAACAGTTGTTTAAATATAAGGCAGATTTGGAAAAGAGCCAATAAAAATGATAGGACTATAAAAATATAGTAACTGATAAAGATATTAACAGAATATAAGGCATTGTAGAAATGGTAACAACATAGATTGGGAATTGCTCATGTATTTATTTGTTGGGTGAACAAATAGTTTTGGGAGATCCTGCTGTGGACCAGAGTGGTAAAAGCAGCAGTGAAAAAAGGAGACAGAAATTGCTGCCTTTAAAGGGGAGTGGGGTGAGAGGGAGGAACTACAAGGGAATATGGCGGAGGGTGGTGGGTGCTTTGTTGGTGGGAAAGCTATGGTGACCACACCTGAGGGGAGAAATCCTGCTTTGTTAAAATTTTAAACAAAAATGTAAACCATTGGCACTTCAGTCATAAAAATAAATAAGGATAGTAAATTCAAGTTGGAAAAATAGTCATGTAACTGTATTAAAATTCTAAATAAATATATATATAGTAACTGAAATTTTTAAATTTGGAGAGTTTAACAACAAATTAAAAATTTCATTTTAAAGATTTATTTTATTTGTGCATGCAGAACTGGGGTACAGGTCAGAGGTGCAGGGGCGGTGAGAAGATTCAGAGACAGAATGGGAAGCAGAACAGGCAGATTGTCGAAGTACACTGCTGAGGGGAGCAGCGGGCGGGTCAGGAGAGGTCTGCCACGCCATGTCACCTCCGGGTGGGAATTGAACTCATGTGGAAGTGCTGTGTTTTATCCCACTGCGCCACCAGGGAGTGCCGCTCTTTTAAGTTTTTAAGGATGGAAAAAGTTGAGAACAATTATGCAGAGTAAAATCTATAAGAAAGTTGTTAAAATTGGCTAAATTACCCTTCCTTAGGGTTTTAACCAAGAAGATTTGGAAGAAGAGAAAAGTGAAACACAGGTAAAAGAAGCAGAAGACTCAGATTCTGATGATAACATAAAAAGAGGGAAACAGTAAGTTTGCTTTGTTTTTAAAGAATTTGTTTTAAAAATTTATAAAATGAAAACAGACTGTCAAACTTTGTTTTTATCTTATTTTGTTTCCTGATTAAGTGTAAAGACTGTTAGAGTTTTTACCATCATGCTTCTCTACACAGTGCTATGGAAAATTATTTGTTCTTTTTTTTTTTCCATTAGCCTGTGTTTATCAGTGTTAGTATGTGGAGTTATGTGGTGCTGGGCTTTTAATTTATACCTCGACAAGTAAGCACTTATGAAAAAATAAAATTTTAAAATACCTTTTTTTAAAAAAAGAAAAAGAAAAAACTGATTTGGAGATAAGGGGAAATAAAACAAGTCTTAACTATAAAATATTGATTGTATTTCACGTACTTTTGTTGTGATTGTTGTAATTTGTTCAAAAAATCTGGCAAAACAGTAATTTAATAATTACTGTTTATAGTTGTAAATATGATGCTTTAAATGCAATTTTCTTTTTAATTTCTACTGATATGCAAGAATTAAAGTGAAGGAGTTTGGCAATACCTTTGGAAATTATATAAATCATATCTCACTTAGAGGAGAGTGGCAAAAAGAACAAGTTAGTTCCTTCTTTAAGTATAATGATTGGGGAAAACTAAAGGTTTTGGGGTTTTGGGCGGGTCTTTAGATTTCCTTGTCTCAGTCAGACTGTGTTTGAGAGTTGCCCTTCTTGTCACTGAAATGCAGCAATTTTTTTTCCCTACTTACACTGTGAGACAAAAATGTTCAAATCATTGAACAACCCAAAAAAGGTATTGTCCCTAAAACTAGACCATGGACACTACCTTTTGAGAACTTGAAATTTGAAAATGTTCCATCATAGAGCTGAAAATGGCAAGTATTGATGTAGTATATGAAAAGTTCAGGGCTTTTAGTGTTTAACATATATAACAGATGAGTTAGTATAAAAGTTGGATATAAAACCTGGAATCCCCTGTTCTTTTAAAAGGACATTATGAGTACTTGCACTTTAAAAGAAGGTAGCACTTTATTGACTCAGAATTAAGAAGGTTGGTGGTTGTTAAAAGTTATAAAAGGAAATGCGTATTAAAAGGGAATTTATTTCTTTTACTTTTGTGTTACTGCTTAGTATGGACTTTCTGTCAGATTTTGAGATGATGTTACAGCGGAAAAAGAGCATGAGTGGTAAGCGCAGACGCAACCGTGATGGTGGCACTTTCATTAGTGATGCGGATGATGTTGTGAGCGCCATGATTGTCAAAATGAATGAAGCTGCTGAGGTGAGATGGTTCATTTCCAGCATTTACTATCCTAAATCTTAGGCATGGAAATAAGTTGCTTTTTAAAAGTAATATATTTAGGGGGAAGAAAACTTAAGTGTTCAATAAAATGAGCTTTTTAGCTGAATTCCTTTGCTTGTTTAGGGATAATGATTTTTGCCATTAGGTTAGGCAAACCTAATGTTTCTTCATATATAATGGGTTACAAACTTAGGCTCTTTTTGTGTTACAAACTGACTTGTCACTTTTGCCTGTGATCAAGAGAGATATTCAACTCCTTGCATTTTAAAATACTACCCAAATTGTGAAAATTGGCCAAACATGTTTAAAAACAAGTTCGAATGTCTTAAAGGTGTTTGCTGAAGTATTTGTAGATACGATGATAGGTATCTAGAATTTATTTCAGAGTAATTTGGGGACGGGGGTGGGTAGAAAGAATAGTAGGTAGAGATGGTAGCTAAAGTAAGATGAGCCATAATGGTATTTAATTATTTAAATGTATATGACAGGTTTTCTCAGTAGAATTAGAAATTTTCCATAATTAATAAATATGAGGAAATGACTCTTCTTTAGTAACATCATAAAATCTCACAGCTAGAAAATCATTCCTGACATTAAGCCAAGTTTTCCCAGATACAATGTATATCATAAATATCATAAATAAATTCTTTAAAAAGTTGAAAATTACATCAATATTTTGAAGTTGTTCCTTTCATCTGATAACTGTAAAAGCTAATCTTAATAGTTTTGTGAGTTCTATCAACATATATACAGAATTTGGGACTCTACAAAAAAGCCCACTATTTAGTTATTCTTTCTTATAGGAAAATTGAAGTTTCTTAAAGAAATGAATGTTTAAAGTTTAGACTAATGGTGATTGTAATTATTAACAGTTGTTTTTTCCTCCTTTTTAATCTTTTTCATCCTGGATAGGAAGACAGACAGTTGAATAATCAAAAAAAACCAGCACTAAAAAAATTAACATTGTTACCTACTGTGGTCATGCATCTTAAGAAGTAAGTATTCTATTAAAGAAGTTTCCCCCTTTTAATGGATTAATATTCAAACTGGAGTCCTGGAAATTTTAAGGAATGGTTACGGTCTATCAATTCACACACGCACACGCGCGTGCACACACACACACGCAAATAGCAATTAAAACCTTACAAGTTAGGGCCTCCCTGGTGGCATAGGGGTTTAAGTCTTAGCATTATCACCACTGTTGCCTAGTTTAGTTCCTGGCCAGAAAGCTGACCATCATATCAATAGTACACCTCTCCTGTCTTGCCCCTTGCTCCCTTAGTGTAGTAAATTCACCTGTTCTGCTTCCCACTCTGTCTCTGGTGAATCCTCTGACTCCCCTGTACCTCTGGCCTACACCTCTGTTCTATGCAAAAATTAAATAAGTAAATAAAACTTTTCCAAATTGTATTACTTCTTCATTAAATTTTTCTTAAACTTTTATGCCTCATACAACCAATATTAGTGAAAGAAAAAGTTGGAAACCACTTTTTGTTCTTTATAATTTTGAGTCTTGAAATTTTATATATTTTCCAAATGTTAACCAAGAACAGCAAATCCTAGTATAGATAGTGTAAAACTATTGTACATATTGTACAAGGCTTATATGGCCTGTTATATAATGAATTATGTCATTGTTTTTTCTAGAAGAATGACCCTTCTTTGATGGATTCTTGTTAACACATTCTTTAGCTGAAGAGATACATTAGTTCCCCAAATCACCATTGAGCTGTAAGCGTGGTCTAGGACTTTTTTTTTTTTAATATAATAGTTTATTTTCACATCATTTTGTACATTTTTTTTTTCATTTCAATTGTAATCTCCATGGGTTTCCCATCACCAAGTCACCCATGTGCCATCACCATGGTCCCATGTACTTCCCTCCTCCCGCCCCCTACCTTTTTGATACCATTCCCCAGATCTAGGACTTTCTATTAGAAAATTGCTACCTCTATCAACAGACAAAATTATCTGTGTAGATAATCTGACATACGTTAGGCTTTCTATTAACATAATTGCTTCTAGTACATAAAAAGTATTTAATTTTTTTTTTTTTCCCCTGCTAAAAGAGATGCATTTCTCCTTCAAGGACTGGCACAGTTTTGGGATCTCTCACCTGAAATAGCTTGAAAATCAATATTCTGACAGAATAAATGTTATTTGTTAGTTTTAGTAATTACTGTCTATATTTTACATGTTACCTGTCTAGTGTAATTTGAATTTATTTTTAATAAATGACCTTTGCCTAAGGGCAAGTCTATTTCTTAAAGATAGGAACTAAATTTCATTGCTTTTGAAACCTGTAAATAATTGTCAGTAAAAAATGTATTAACTCTTTAAAAACAATTTTTGGAGACAATGCTAAATATGTCAGAAAATTCAGAGGAAGTTGTAACAAATTAAGATTCATAAATTTGACCCTTTTAAATTTTTTTTTATTATTATAGGCAAGACTTAAAAGAAACATTTATTGACAGTGGTGTGATGTCTGCCATCAAAGAATGGCTCTCACCTCTACCAGATAGGAGTTTGCCAGCATTAAAGATTCGAGAGGAGCTGTTGAAGATCCTACAAGAGGTTAGAGGCAGATGATCTGATTGCTTGCTCTTCATTAGTTATCTGATGTGGTTTGTATTATCACAACCTCTATATTTTACCATATATTTATACATTTTTCCTACCATATTGTGCCAGAAGAGGTAAAACCTTACAAGTGTATTTATTAGGAACATACCATATAAAAAGCCTTATAAAATTTCATGTATATATAGTGTTGTAGGAAAAAGATCTCGGAAGTAGATACAGTTTATCTGAAAAGAGTATTTTTGTAGAGGCCAAGCTCTAGGCAAGCATTTGTGGTAGAAGAATACCAACTTTAGAATCGGATACATCTGCATATGAATCTTGAGTTGGGTCACCTTTATGTCACTGTTACACCTTGGGCAAGCTGCTTAACTTCTGAAGGAATTTCTGAGGAACCTATGTGCTAGGTGTTTTATATTTGTATTGTTTTGTTTATTTCTCACAACAAACCTGCAAAGTTGTTGTATTGTCTCCATTTTACAGATGAGGAAATTAGGGCTCAGAGAAGTTAAATGACTTGTCCAAGGTCATAGAACTAATAGATGGCTGTTTGGGTTCAGACCCTGAGAATTTGGCCAACTCGTGCATAAAATTGCTAACCTCTAAGTATGTTTAGTTGAAATGTTCTCACATTTTCAAAGTTTACTTTAACTTTGGTAATATTGAACTCAGCACTTGGTGTGAACATAAAGTACCCTTGTGTTCAAGATCTATAGATCCTGAAAATTGAATTGTTGATTTGTTATGTTGTAAATGATCCAGATTTTAGAAGTCCTGTAGAACAGATTAACAAACTCCCAACCTCTGAGTGATTAATATGTCTGTGTGTGTTTATGTTCTCAGCTACCTAGTGTGAGCCAGGAGACCCTGAAACATAGTGGGATTGGACGAGCAGTGATGTATCTCTATAAACATCCCAAGGAATCAAGGTCTAACAAGGACATGGCAGGGAAATTAATCAGTATGTACATCTTGCTCTTTCTTTGCTGTGTTTATGTAGACATAGAGAGACTATGTATATATAAAGCAAATATTTTACCAGTATTCATTTTGAAGGAGTCGACAAAGTGAATTTTAAAAATTTTGATAATTTCCTGTAGGTTTCAAGTTTTTCCTTCATTTGAAATACTTCTTGGTATATTTAAGTATGCTGTCCAGTTTTAAATATAACAAGCAAAATAATCCATTCTGATCTTGGATCAAGGGTATGTAGAGAGAAAGGGATTAGAGTTCAGTTCCTAGAGTCAGTCAGTCTTACCTCGATTCACATCCTGGTCACACTTGCCTTGCTGCATATCTTTGGATTACTGATTTAAGCTCCAGATCTTGGCTACTGCTTCTATAAAAGGGAGAATTGTGTTTTGTAACACAAAACTCCTCAAGAAGTGTTAGCCTCTGCTGTGATTGTTACACTTTAATTAATTGCCATATTATTTATGAAATCCTTCATTTTTAAGAATGAAAGCTGGGTCTGATTTTAGTCATCCTCCTTAATGCTTCCATGCAGAAAGGAATTTTTAAAACTTCAATGCTAGATCAAAGAAAGTACTCTCTGAAAATAGTAATTATTTTCCTTTGAAATTTTACAATTATCAAAAATTCCATATCAAAAACAATATGGATTTTTTTCCATAAACTGGATAAGTAGTACATCATTAAACTTTTTAATAACCTGCAAGCTACTGTTATAATGATTAACTTTTGATGCTTTAGGCAATGGTTTTAGACCTTATTTTGCTCTGGACTGACAGAACCAGAATATTCCCATTCATACTCATGACTTAATACAACAGTGATTCTGAATCTAGGGTAGGGCCAATGGGTCAGTTTTCAAAGGTATATAGATCCCCAAGACTCTTTGATCCTGTCTTAGATAACCTCTGTGTTGTCTTTACGGGTACTTTCTCATTTTGATGATGTACTAAATGCAGCAGTAAAAGCTCCGTATGTTTCAGAAACATTAGTTTGTACATCTGGATTGGCATTGATGAAACACTGAGCATGCAATATTTTTTTTCACCTTAACAACTTGCTTAGGCTTAAGGAAGTACAAATAGACTATTTTGACAGTTAAGCATGGCAACTTTTTTGTCACAGTAAGAAAATAAAATTCCAGTCTTCTTTATTGTAGTAAATATAGAAATTAGGTTGTCTTTATGAACTACCAACACAGCTAGTTAGTGGCTGTCAAAGAGAGTCTGGTGATACTCACTTAATCCCTATAGTGATTACAGGTTTGAAGATATTTTTACACTGAATATTCTGAATTAGCTGGGGCTAGTTAAAGTACTGGTATTAGCCTATGTTTATCTTATAGATGATCCTGAAATAATAATATCTTCAAAGAAAGAATATTCTAAGTGCCTGAAGTATGACTTAACCACTAGTGTGTGGTTATTTTAAGGCATGATAGGGGAAATGCTACTTTGTAGACTAAGTTCATAGTTGATTTTTCTTTGTCATAGATGAATGGTCTCGCCCTATATTTGGTCTTACTTCAAACTACAAAGGAATGACAAGAGAAGAAAGGGAACAGAGAGATCTAGAACAAATGCCTCAAAGACGAAGAATGAACAGGTATGAGGGAACAGGTATGAATAAGTGGAGTAATATTAATGTTGTAATAAATCAGTTTTTTAATAAAAAAGATATTTGAGAAATGACAGTACTTTGTTTTACTTCTCAGCTTGATATGTTTGTGTAGCATAAGTCCTGTCAGTTTAAATGTAATTAGTGATAATGAAAAATTCGTATTGCCTCCCAGTCTTTAACTTTCCAGTAGAATGTGTCCTTTACCACACTTCTGGAAACTTCGGGCACAACTTATCTTCTTGTAGAAAATACTTTCTTAGAATCCTTTCACAAATCTGAGGTGTAGGAAAGATGTTACTGGTTTAACTGGTTGCATCCAGGGTAGCAGGGTCAATACAAATAAGGCATTTATAGCTCACCATAATGAAAACTTGATGTACAAATGATGACTAACATAATTACTACTTTTACAGTGTTATGTCCCTAATGCAGTAAAAAGGATCTAGATATGTTGTGATATTTCACTTTGCTTTTTTTTTTCCCCCCTTAATTACAAGGTTTCTAACATTCCTAATATCTTATTGATTGCTTTTTTCCTAGTACTGGTGGTCAGACTCCCCGGAGAGACCTTGAGAAGGTGCTGACAGGAGAGGAGAAGTAAGATTCTTGAATTAATTTTCCTTGGGCTACTTAGAAAATGTTCTGCCTGCTGCTTTGCTTTAAGAAAAGTTATAGGTGAAGTGATGGCATATTGACATTGGTGGGGGCTGGTTTCAGTTTCACACTGACTGGCTGTTCACAGAGCTTTGTATTGGGTGCTCAGGGGGATATAAAGAAGATTGAGAAACAGTTAATTCAGTGAAGATTTTGTTGCTGCTTACTATGTACTAGAAGCTGTGAAGCTCTAGGAATAAAAATCAGAATAAAAGCTAAAATTTTAGCAGGATTATAAGCAAAGGAGTGAGCTTAAAGATGTGAAGGGTAAATGGGCAAAGCCTCTTTTAGGACTGGCTAGTAGGCTGAAGGGTTTAGGCAATAGTGTGGTGCCAGAGATGATAGAAGTAAAGCTTGGAATGTAGCTGTGCCCCAAATTTTGAAGGGCTGTAAAATCAAGATGAGGAATTTTCACTTTATGATTCTATAGAAAGTTTTTGAGCATAGACATGGAAGTCATCAGATATGATTTGAAACACTGAAGCTGGTGACCTGGTATAGGGTTTGAGGTCAGAGAGCAGCAGAAAGTTGACAAGACTTTGGCAACAGTAGTGACAGGATTTGGTGATATAGTGGTTAAGGAGTTGCCTAGAGTTGAAGATCCAACCAAAATTTTAACCTAAATAGCTGAAATCCTGGCATTGCTGTTCACTGAACTGGAAAAAGACGATAGATTTAGAGTAGAGGTCACTTCTGTTTTGAGCATAGTAATTGTGAGATGCTTAATCGAGCTATCCTGTAAACACCATGAGCCTCGAAGTTGGAATTTGGATTAGACATGACTGATCACTAATCTCTATAGAAAAACAAAGTATAGTGTAAGAAATAAAATGTCTTTGAAAGTGGATGTAGCTAGGTGAGCAGCCAGTGATGGTAACTAAGCTGTTTGCTGTTCGAGAATAACCTAAAGTAAGGCCATGCTAGAGGGCGTCAGTGACAGGCTATAAACATTTGCAGATGGTGCAGGGGGTTTGGAGATTAGCAACACCCAGATTGCAAGAGAATGGAAGATGAGCTTGGAGGGAGCGAGTGTGTTTTGTTATGGGTAAGTTTGATGACAAGACAGATTGTAACTTCCAGAAGAAAGTAAGAGTCATAAGAAATTTTCTTTGGTTAACCATTTACTCTGTTCATGTACATGAGGGGTATAGAAGTTTGCTGTTAAGAATGGATTAAAAAGTATATGAGGAAACAGAAACAATTTAGACCTTTCATGTTTTCATCTTCTGCTCTTTCTCCACCCCTCCACATACACCCACTCCCCATTTACCATTATTAGGAAGACTAGTTACCTAAAAGTTGAATCATTTGAATGTCCAGACATCTGCAAATAGGCTTTACTTTTGAAGGATGATAGTCTCACTTTGGTCTGGTTGGAGTTCTCAAAAGTGCACAGTAAGTCCTCTCTCTTAAACATTTTCAGTAAGTTCTTAGAAACTGACTTTAAATGCAATGGTGTATATAGAAACCAACTTTATCATAAAAAAGAGTTAAGTTCCTACAGCATATTTCTGGTTACAAAAACATAACCAAACTTAAACAACAGCCCAGGCAATTCTAATATTAAGCAATAACTTGCATTTACTCAGGCATTCATATTCCAACCCACTTTTTCCTGTTCAGGGTCAAGTGTGGCCAGAGCCTAACCCAGCACTGAACAGTATGCCATTCCATCACAGAAACATACTCTTCACTCCCAGATTCACTCACTCACTCAGACTGGGAAGATTTTGAAATGCCAATGAACTACATCGGACTTAGGGAAAACTTACAAACGCCATACAGTCAGTGGCCCCACCCAGGACTCTTTTTTTCTCATCAACATAAAACAACATTATTTGAAGACCTGCTGTATAAAAGATACTGTGTGTTACACCACCACATAGGATGCAGATAAAGAGATAATTAATACATTGCTGTGGATGAGATGGTACAGCTACTCAGGAAAATAGTTTCATATAAAATTAACCATGCAACCACCATACAACTTAGTAATTTCACCCCTGGGCATTTGTCCCAAAGAAACAAAAAGTTGTGCAGAAACCTGTATATGAATGTATAGCTTTGTTTATAATGGCCCCCAAATTGGAATAAACTAGATATCCCTCCAAGTGAATGGAAAAACTGTAGTACACTCACACCATAGAATGCTACTCATCAATTAAAAGGAACAAAGTATTGAAGTATGCAGCAATTTGGATAAATCTCAGGGGAGGTATGTTGAAAGGATAGGAGTAACTTCTTATTCACTTGTTAAGGTTACATTGTACATTCCATTTGTATATCCCTTTTTTGAAATGACAGAATTACGGAACTGAAGATACTGGTATTCGTGGTCCCTAGGCAATAGGGACTGTGTGAATGAGGAAAGTGGGTGTGTTTATAAAAGGACAGAAGAAGGGATCCTTATGGACACATAAGCCTACACAGCGGTAAAATAACATACAATTAAATGTGCACACACACAAATGCAAGTAAAACTGCATTTACAAATAAATATGGATTATATCAACATCCTGGGTGCGGTAGTGTACTTTATTTGTTCCATTGGATCTCTTTGTGTTATTTCTTATAACGGCTTGTGAATCTATATCTCAGAAATTATTCATAAACAAAGGCCAAAAAAGTTACGAGTTGTATAAATAAAACCATAAACTGCTTTATGGGCATACTCAGTTTGGGGGATTCATTTTGACTACTAGTTTTTCTGCATAAGTGAACCCAAGTAAGGACTACATTAGAAATAAGTTGAAATCTAGAATCCTGATAGATAAATCAGTCTTGAAAGTGAGAGAAGCAGGGATACATTTGAAGCTGAATAGAGGTGTAAAGGAACCCTAAAAATGCAGAGGAAATGTGTTGGGGAGGAACATTTAGGAACTCAGTAATTTGATGATGAGGCTCAGCTAAGACAGAAAAGAGGGTAGATTGGGTGACTTTGGGAGAGTAGAGGAGATTTCGGAAAGGTGGGCAGATAAATGGCTACAAAAACAGGAGTATTCTCTTCCCATCCTCAGGGCACTTCGACCTGGAGATCCTGGATTCTGTGCCCGGGCAAGGGTCCCGATGCCCTCAAACAAGGACTATGTTGTCAGGCCCAAGTGGAATGTGGAAATGGAGTCATCCAGGGTAAGCAAATGGGAGAGTAAGGTGGATATTATACGAATTATTATTTTGTTTTTTACTTCATGCTTAATTATCCTTTACTTCCCTAAAAGTTTATCTGATTTAAAGAGAGCTTCTTTGTAGTATTATGTAGTCAGGTGATTGATTGCTGATGAACCACTCCAGACTTAAAATATTACAAAGCCAGGAAGTTTCTTTCTATTTCATCTGACTCTTAAAGCTTAGGGGTGATATAGTCGTTGATACATTGTTATAGAACTTTGGCAGTTAGAATTCAATGGCATTTGTAGTCAGTCCCTCCCTATCTTTTCAGCAATTTTAAGGAATACTGTTGTGAAGTAGGCTAAACACTTTCTCTGTCATCATTATAAATACTGTTGAGTGATCTTCGTTGTTTCTCAGTAATCTTTTTTTATTCTCCATTCAAACTACTCCTTCTAGCCTGGTATTCTTAAAAAGGGCCTAAGCCGATTGGAAAAGCATAAAAGGCGATTTGCAGAACAGAAACGACTCAGCAAAGTGCACCGTGCTGTCAAGTTCAGCATTGAAGGCAACAGGATGCCCTTGTAGGCCTGGCCCTACCAGAGTATATCTGAGAGGTATCCCCAAGGAAGCATGTTTGTGCATGGGCTTGAGTTATTAGCAGCTAGAGTGAAAACAGTGTGTGTGTGTGTTTCTGAACTAGAAAAAGTAAGGCCCACTTTCAGTTTCTGAAATAATGGCTTTGACAAGCAGTTCATGACCACTTCAAGTGCTCTTGACCTTTTAGTGACATGAAAGAATTTATTATGTAGCTATAAGAGGTGGATATAAAGTTGATCACAATCCCAAAATTTTGATTGAATTCTGGCAATATTTTCTGCTCTGAGTAATCTCAGCATTTAATTAAACCATTAAAAAAAAAAAGTCTTTATTAGAGAACCATAGAGTATAACAGAGAACTACTTCTCTGAGAAGCATTTTGGTTTTCTGACTGGTACCCATTTTTATTAAGGCCCATAATCATAGTGGTTGACATTACAGGTATATAAATTAGTAACTTCATTATAGAGAGAGGTGGCTTCTTTACATGTTGTGAGTGGCTTAGCAACATGCACGTGAGGACTTAATGTATAAAACCTTACACTGAATATTTAGGAGATAAATTTGATCAATACATACTTAGTACATGGTTAGAAATGAAGACTCAGAGCAAGGCCAGTCGCTACCTGATGTGCTCTGAGATTAGTAATAGTACCTTTTTGCACTGTACTCTTGACAAGAGTCTGAATGTATTGGCTTCATTTTTTGACTTCTCCATGACCATGACCCCAGCTGTAGCAGCTAGTTTCACAGACTGCATTCACCTTCTGCCAGTTCATTTTATTGTTAAGCTACTGTCTCAAAGCACACTTTCTTATGTACTGATTCTTATTTACTGAGCATAAATAAAGTATAAGAGCCTAGTTTCATTCCTTTCCTTTTTCTTGTATCCATATCCCTTGATAACCTTCTCCTCTACCACCATCATTTTTTCTGTTTATATTATATCACTGTTTATATTGTCTCCTTATCCCTCTTTTTTATGATACTTTTTCTTCCTCAGCACATTTATTTTTGAGAATTGAGATCTATAATATGACAAAGAAAATATAACAAATCTTAGTGGCCATTCTACTTTGGAAGCACACCTTACATCCTGAAGGGCATTTACCTTACTGCTGGTGGTGGTATTTCTGATCCTACCGTCCCTTTAGTTGATGAGTAGGTAAAAAGAAGTGGCCCTTTTCTCTTGTTAGAGCACACCAGTGACCAATATGAGGGGAAGGAATTGGAGATAGAGTTCTCAGCACTTAATTCCTAACACTCCCAGGATCATAATGTTTTGGTATTGTTCTAGTCCTGAATGTGGCTTGTCGAGCTGTGCCCCAAAAACGTTTTAGGAGCTGGTGGCCCCTTGTTAGAATACTGTTCTTAAACCATGTGACACTGCTTATTCAGGAAGATTGCATATTCACTATATTCTACCATGTACAAACTTAAGTGTTATTAGAAAACATATCTGAAATTGGAATTAATTTATTTTAAACTTTTTATTTTGAAATTACTTAAGTAAATATTAACTAAAGTAACAACTTCCCCACAGTCCTGCTTTTCTAACTTAGCAGTTTGATGTGGGAAATGTATTTTCAGTTAATACTTTAAACTTAAGTTTTTTCTGGTTACAGTTGTGGAAAAGTTTGCGATTGTGAAGAGAGAAATCACCTTTCATTCAAAAGCATTTGATAACACTTTTTTGGCCTCTTTTTCAGTTGATACTTTAACATAGTTAATTTTACTTTTCATTAAACCACCTTACAGATTTATCACAGTGGCTGCTTGACAGTCTGTTGTATAAACATGTAGTTCTCTAGTAGTTTCTGATTTTTCACACCTAAACAATGTAGTAATCTACACATTATGTCATTACTTTCTTCCATAATGCTTTTAAAATAACAAAAATAAATGTTTTAATAACAAATAAAATTAATGTTTTAATACAAAATTTTCAAGTAAAATTAATGTCACTTTTAACCCCAACCACTTTTTAATATTAATATTATGTTATTTTTAGTTCTTTTTATATATGTACACAAACATAAGTGGTTTTGATTTTGTTTTTAATTTTTAAACAAAATTATGGTCATATTTTATACCTTATTGGATTTGACTTTTATTTAACATGATAAAAACTCTTTTATCAGCATACTTCAGTTACTTAGTATTGTATCATGGTACAGTTATATTGTAATGTATTTAAACAACTCCATCTTGTTCGTGTTTTAAGGTACTCTTGATTTTGGGGGTGTTTTTACTGATAAAATATGCTTCATGCATTGTGACTGTCCTAAGGACGTAATCATAAAGAGGTCATTCAGTTTGGTATTATGTTCTGTATGTGTTAAGGTTTGTAATGACAAGACACGTGCCAGCTACAAACCTTGAGATGTATCTGTCAAGAGATGTAGATGGCATTGACCAGGGAGCATGCAAGTTGTTGAGGCTAGACAGAGCTGGTGGCGCTTCAGCTTTTAGAGGAAGTGTGGGAGAGTGTGCAAGTAGTAGTTCAGACTGGTGTGTAGAGTCACTGGGAGTTGGGTGACTGCAGAGACTTCTAGGTGACTAAATCAAGGCACATTGTCTGAAAGGAAGTCAGATTTTTGGGACTGAGAATTCTTGGATATTCAATATAGTAGTGGTATCATAACTCTTTCCTCCTGATAATATTTTATGCAAATCTGGAGTACTAGTGCTGAGGATTAAAATTGATATAGAACAATATTTGGAATTGAGCTGTTACTAGCAAATTGAGGATAGTCAATATAGTTCTTGTGCAAAATTACTTGAGTACCTTTCTTGTATCTGACGTGGATGTGGAGTTCAGAGGAGAGAGACTTGGGAGGCACCCACTCAACGAACTATTTACATTACCAACTAGAGAGTCTCCTAGGCCCTATCTTCTTTTTTTTTTTAAAGATTTATTTATTTATTTGTACAGAACTGGGGTACAGGCCAGAAATGCGGAGGAGTCACCAGAGACAGAGCAGGGAGCAGAACAGGCAGATCGACGAAATACACTGCTGAAGGGAGCAGAGGGCAGGTCAGGAGAGGTCTGCCACGCCATGTGGTCTCCTCCGGGGCAGGCGGGGATTGAACTCAGATCGAACTCATGCGGAAGTGGCTTTAGTTTCTTAGTGCTGTGCCTCAACCCGCTGTGCCACCAGGGAGGGCCCGGCCCTATCTTATTTTAACATTCTTTGAATTAAGTTTCATGGGTGATTAAGTAATATCTGAGAAGAATTAGAAAGCCCATCTGTTTTTAACTTCTCAGCATTATTAAAGATCAAAATTGTTAGCAACACAAGTGTGCCAAAAGAATTTACCCTTTTGACTTTTTCAGCTTTCAATTTTTCTGAAAAGTTTTGATTTCTTGGAGACCACATCTTTTCAAGACATGCAGTCTTTTTACAATAAATGTAAAAGAGATAATGTAACAACACATCTTTAAACTTGAAAGGCAAGAAGGAAAAGATGCAAGAAGTAATTAATCCCTTGTAACACAAGACTTAATTCTTTTTGTTTCAGATATTCTTTAACACAAATCTAATGACTTCAAAGTAGTCATAGTAGTAGTAGTTGATATTTATTTTGAACTTTGACTTGTATTTGTGATTGTGTGATTATTTTACTTATCCCAACAGTCTTGAGGAGTACAGACCAGGGACATGGTGTGCCTGGGTTACAAAATCTGCTGAGACAGAGCAGGGATTCACCCACCTCAAGACTAAAACTGGAGCTCCAGCACTTGATGGATTTGCTTTACTAATCCTCTAACCCTATTCACTATGCTACAGCCTTTTCTCAGATGAGTTTTCTTACCTTAGAAGATCCTTACTTTTTATGCCACTCTATGTCTAGTGGTGAGCTCCATGTTTAATTTTTGAAAAGGAAAAACATACAGTCAAAATGTAATCTGATGGAATGCAGGGTGGGCAGGGAAGTCATAGTTACAATTTTTCTCCCTTTCTCTTACCTGGTAGATTTCCATCGACTGACGCAGAATTTTAAAACAATGCATAGACCACAACAAAATTATTTTTCATGGGGAAAGTAATATGGTTTTTAATGCTGTGGTATATGCTTACCTTGTTCCTGAAGTTACCAAAGCGTGTTCTGGTTCCTAGAGCTGGGAACTCTTCCAACTGCTGACTTTCAGATAAAAAGAAGATGAAGACAAAGCTACATTTATTATTTCAATAATTTGCTCTTTAATTTTTACCCCACTCTTAGTTTCAGGGGACCTCCAAGAAGGGCATCAGTCGACTGGATAAACAGATGAGAAAGTTCACAGATATCAGGAAAAAAAGCAGATCTGCACACGCAGTGAAAATCAGCATCGAGGGCAATAAAATGCCATTGTGACCTTGCCTGGGTTATGTCCCTGTCTCTCAGAAATGCGCATTGGACTCTGGAGAAAGAAGATATTTTAAAAAATTTTTAGTGTATCTGTAAATGTTTATGCTTGTATCAAATGTTGTCATAGGATTTGGATTTCTCTCAGTTGTATTTAAAACCGTTTGATGTGTACTTTGTACAGAAGAATACCAGTCATACTTCTATAAACTTTACACAATAAAATTCCATTCTGGTTTTGGGGGGCTGTCTCTTATTTGTCTTGGAAAGGGTGAAAATTGTTTGAGTGAAAAGAAAAATCTTAGATATTGGTGTTTAATCCTACTTCAATGTTTAATCCTATTCAACTGGTATACAAATTTTAGTCTCTTTCCTGGGTTTCTGACATGGAGCTTCTAAAATCCTTTTTGACTTCCTGGACAACAGCATTTTCTTAGTGATGCTAATGAGGTCTCTTGCTAGACCTCTCCCTACATAGTGGGGAGATTAGTGGGGATTAGTCACCAGACAGACCTGCCCCATAAGGTTAGGACTTTGGGCAGTCCTAACCTGTGGGAGTTTGAACTCTGGGAAGTTATTCAGTTGTGCCACCAATAGTTTAATCATTGACATGAGTGGGAAGTCCCCAATTAAAAACACTGGACACTGAAGCTGGGTGGAACTTCCTGATTGGTGAACACTTAACGTGTTAACCATAACCATGGTGACATGCCTTGATTCCACAGAGGTTGTGGAATCTCTTAAACTTCCCCCACACCTTTGCCCTATATGTCTCTTCAGTTGGCTGTAAGTCATACTTTGAGTCCTTTATAATAAAACTAATCATGAATATAGTGCTTTCCTGAATTTTGTGAGTCATCATTTAGTGAATTCTGAAATTGAGGGAACCCTTAAACTTGTAACCTGTCAGTCAAAAGTGGGAATTTGTGCTCAGCCACTTGGGGCTGACATCCAAAAGTAGGGGCTGTTTTACGGAAGACTGAGCCCTTAAACTTGTGGAGTTTGCAAATTTGTGGTGGTTGGTGGCAGAATTGAATCACAGTATTCTAGTTGAGGTTAAGACTAGATGTTAGCAAAATTCTAGCATTTCTCTTATTAGGGAAACTACATTTGATTTGAGTAATACTTTCTCTCTCAGTCGGTGCTGTCATGAAAAGGTGATTGAGAAATGCTGTCAGGAAATAGGAACAGAATTGAAAATCACTATACAGGTTAGCAGTTGAACAGTTGGAATAGAGATAAGAATTATGGCTTAAAGCTGTATCATACTATTTTTGTGATGCTTTCTAATTATTTTAATTTGCAGATTTAATTATGAATACCTGATTAGTCCAAATGATTATAAATGCAGAAAAATTTCATAGGTAGTAATTTTAAGTATAAGAATCTTCTGGTACATACTTGGATAGAGATCTTGCAACTTTGATTTTTTTAAAAAGATGAATCTTACTGTCCATAAAAGCCTTTGAATACTCAAAACAGCATGACATTCATGTATGCTATTTTTTACTCATAATCTTTGGGAATTTCTTCATGTTTACTTTCAACAAACTTAAAAGCACAAATGTAAACACAGGCAATTTAAGACCTCAGGTAATAGTAGTTACTTAACGGAGATGGCAAAGCAACTTTCTGCACTGTCCTTTGCTCTATATAAATACCATCAAAACCACTTGTGAAAACCAAAAAAAAAAACCCAAACCATTTATAGAAGCAGCTAATGATGACTGGTAATTAAAAACTCTGAAAGTTAAGAATAGTACGTTTTTTAAAAAATACAGTATTTTGGCATTTCATGAGCTATGCTCCAGTTACCTGATAATTTAACCTATATAGGGTAACACTTGATGATGTTGTCAAGTAATAAGGTGATAATTACACCCGAGGAATTCAAAATAAGATTTTCCTTAAGAAAAAAGTATATAAGCAATCTTGGTGTATGGCTTATTAGAAAGTCTAAAACTTGGCCAGCCAAAATAGCTTTCAAAAGTTTTAAAAAATATTTCCAAGTTACCAATAGTGTAACGAGAATAGTGAAAATCCCTATACTCTTCATCTGTATTTACCAAATGTTAGCATTTTGCCACATTTTATCACGAATAATTTGCTGACAAGTTACCTCTTGATCATATCAAGCATATTTTCCCCCCAAACACTACTTTATTCCAGGTTGGTGTTATCCATTGGGATAGAGTGATGCAGTTCACTTTTTCAGTTTAAAAATATTTTAAATTGTTAGTTTTCAGTTATTTGGAATTAAATATGTAAAACACACAAAAATGTTGCCATCTTTAACAACCACAGCTAATGGCATTTAGTTTGTTGTGCAGTCACCACAACCTTTATCCCCAAATGTCTTCATTATGCAAAATTAAACATACCCAGTGAACAAGATCACCATTCTCCTTTCCTCCCAACCCTGACAATCACCTATTTTTTTTTCTCTGATTTGTATTATTACAGGTATTCATACAGGGAAATATTGATTTTTTTTTTGACTGGCTTATCGATTTCACATAACATTCTGAAGGTTCATTTGTGTTGTAGCTCCCTTTTTAAAGCTAAAGAATAACTACTGCATGTATATATCAAGTTTTATACTCGAGGTCATTTCCCCAGTGTTCTCTTCCAAGAGTTTTATCGATTTAATTCTTGTACATCTATGATCCATTTACTTGTTGTAAATCAAGTGTCAAACTTAATTTTTCTTGCATGTGAATATCCAATTTTCCCAGTACTATTTGTTGACAAGACTGTTTCTTTACCACTGAATGGTTTTGACACTTTGTCAAAATCATTTGATCATATATGCCAGGGTTCGTTTCTGGACTCCATTTCATTGATTTTTGTATCTAACAACACTCGTTTGACTACTGTAGTAATCAGATTTCCATACATGTAGTCAAAATTTGTATAGCAAATTTTGAAATCAAATGATTCTTCCAACTTTGTTCTTTTTTATGAATTTTTTGGATGGATTATTATTTCTGCAATAGGTAAATGTTGAAATTTTTACAGGAATAGCATTGAATCTGTAGATCAGTTGAGTAGTATTGACATCTTAAATTAATTCTCATGAGCACAAGATGTCTTGCCATGTAATACTACTTTAGTTTTCAACATTTTTCATTTTCAGGGTGTCTTTCATCACCTTGGTTAAGATTATTCCCAAATATATTTTAGTATTTTTACATTTTGTATCCCTTGATTTTCTGAGTTCTTAAAGCTTTGTTTTGTGTGTGTGGTGGGAGATCTTTGGGCATTTTAAATATAACATCGCACTTCTTTTCTTTGGATGATTTTTTTTTTTTTTTTTTTGCCTAATTGTTCTTTCTAGGACTACTAGCACTGTATTGACTGAACGTGTCAAAAGTGGGCATCTAATTTCTGGTCTTGGAATAAAAGTTACCTTTTATTGTGTATGTTAACAGCTTTTATGATGTTGGGTAGTTTCTATTCATAGTTTGTTTTTAGTATTAGGGCAATGCTGGACTCAATGTGTTAGAAGTTAAGGATAATTTTGGCATAATTTAAGGATAATTAATGGTGATTCTTCTCATGTTTGGTAGACTTCAGTGACGGCATGTGGTCCTGGACCTTTGTTAGATCTGGGTGGGTTTGATTACTGACCTAATCTTAACTCACGTTATATTTCTATTTCTTGGTAGATTATGTTTCTAGGAATTTGTCTGTTTTATCTAAGTTACCAAATTTTTTATCATACGGATATTCATAGTGTTCTTATAATCCTTTATACATCTTTAAAACTGGTAGTAATCTTTTCATCATTTTAGTATTCTTAATCTAGCTAAATGTTCATCAATTTTGTTCATCTTTTTGATGAACCAAGTTGCTTTTTTTCTTTTTTCTTTCTGCTCTAAGCATTATTCTTTTCCTGCTAGCTCTGAATGGCAGTTTGTTCTTTTTCTAGTTCCTAAAAGATAGAAAGTTAGATTGTTGATATGAAAGCTTTTAAAAATGTGTTGACAGGTGTAAATTTCAGAACTGTTTGTTGCATTGTATACATTCGGGTATGTTAATATTTTCATTGTGTCAAGGGAATTTCTAAATTCCCTTGTGTTTTTTTTCTCTGGTGCATTAGTTATTTAAGAATGTGCTGTATAATTCCTACATATTTGTGAGTTTTCCAGCTTCTGCTGTTTTTTAGTTTCATTCCATTGTGGTCAGAAAAGATAAGTAATTTTTGGTCTTTTTTAATTTATTACGACTTATTTTGAGACCTTTACATAATAGTTCAACTCAAAGAATGTATTCTGCTACTGTTGGGTGGTGTGTTACTTACTGGTTGAAGGTGTTGTTTGTTTGTTTTCTCTTCTATCATTAAGGTGCATATTCCCACTGCCTGCTGGCCTGCAAGATTTCTGCTGAGGTTATCAGTTGAGAGGCAGAGGGAGAAAAGTAAAGTACTGTGTGATTTTTGGAGGTTAACCAGTGTTTTTAACCAGTGTTTTCAAATCTTTACCCATCAGCCTGCATACTACTATTCCTCTCAGGTAGAAATTGTGAAACCAAGCTCTGTATTACCTTGTTATCTTCCACTATTGAGGTGGCACAGGACTATCAACAACATAGTGACAAAGATGCAGTCTGGAGTGATGTGAATGTATGCCACCTGTATATAAAAGGATTCTGAGATGCTAGAGAAGTCTTAAGAGAATTGCCTAGTATAAGCAAACTAGAAAGGTTACAGAAATACATGGATTTCTGTAGTTCTCTCAGACCATTATGCTATAGACATGTACTTACTGTGTTTATCAGTTTTGAAAGCCTTTACAGACGATCAGAATTTCCTTAATGTCTTGTTTTAATTCAATACATAAATATAAATGTTTAACCAGAATTTAGAGGTGATAGTTTTTAACAGAGTTTACCATGTAAAAGCCTTTTAACAGAGTTGTGTAGCTTTAAAGCAGGATTTGATACCATGGGTGTGAATGGGGGGAGGGGACTAGATATAGAGAAATTACTGGGCTAGTTAATCATATTGAAAGCTTGTAAATAACATCAATGCCTGCCAGGTGGTTACTGAGGCTGTAAGAACTGTGCTGGGCCCCCATGGCATGGGCAAGCTCTTTGTAGATGGCAGAGGTAAGGCGACGTTTTTTAATGATTTCTAACTTTCAATTTTGAAACTCCATAATGTCACCCATCATGCAGCAAAGACTTAAGGGGACACTGAGAAATCCCATGCAGAGGTCATTGATGGCACCACCTCAGGGAC